AGACGGTTTCATTTTACGGATGACATTTGTAATCTCTTGATAGGTCGGGGGGTCAAGATTAAAAGGCGTCTGGGCAGATGCAAATTTTGGGATCCAACTGGGGATGTTGAATGTTTTAGTTGGGCTAATCGCGGACAATGTTTTGGTAAAATATGATGTACATTCTGCTAGGTTAAATGATGGAAATGAGCTAGTATTCTTTTTGAAAAATCGTTTAACGAAACCCCAGAAACTTTTACCAATCAGACTGTCGTGATCAATATTTGCAGACGCATGACTATCAGTGTTATTTGGGTCCGTAGTATTAGACTTATTAAGAAGGTTGCGCAGTTTCTTTGCGACAAACTTGATCTCCAAGATATCTCCGTTTTCTAATTTTAATTTCTTTAATGATTTTTTCAAATCTTTAGTTGAAAAGCTTTCATATCTTCTTTGGTATTGAACATCATTATGATTGTTGACATATCCAAAATTCTCGCTGAAATAGTTATAGACGACTGTTGCCATGGTGTTAATGTTATTATTTAAATCCCGCGGTGTGATTGGAAGATTTGAAAATGTTAGTTTGAAAAAGTCGTTAGCAGTTGACCATTGTAATGGCGATTTGGGTAGTTTGATTCCTTTTTTTAAGTCAGGGAAGTTTTAATATTATATATTAGTTTTAGTATAATATATTATATATATTTTCTGCGTTTGCACTTTGCGGTTTGAATTAAAGACATTTAATTTATCTGGAAAGTTGTAGTTGAAAGGGCAACTGTAATTGATCATATAATGAAAATCACGACTCACCTCAGTGCCCCGAAATTGTAGCTTACTGTATGCCTATCATACAGCTCTCTCTTCTTGAATAGTTATTTTCTTTATTTTGTGCTTTGGAAAATATCAGATAAATAAATATACGAAAATACACGTCAAGCACTTGGTCATGAATTACCTTAGTTAGCATTGCGCGCAATATTAAAATAGCCTGGAGAGTGTGTTGGGTTTTGCTGTGCTGTTGGGTTTTGTTGGTACGTCTGTTGGGTTTTGCTGTACTGTTGGGTCTGTTGAATTTTGCTGTGTTGTCGGGTTTTGTTGGGTCTGTTGGGTTTTGCTGTGCTGTTGGGTTTTGTTGGGTCTGTTGTGCTGTTGGGTTTGTTGTGTCTGTTGGGTTTGTTGTGCTGTTGGGTTTGTTGAGTCTGTTGAATCTGTTGGGTTTGTTGGGTCTGTTGTGCTGTTGTGTTTGTTGGGGCTGTTGGGTTTGTTGGGCTGTTGGGTTTGTTGGATCTGTTGTGCTGTTGGGTTTGTTGGATCTGTTGGGTTTGTTGGGTCTGTTCTGCTGTTGGGTTTTGTTGGGTTTGTTGGGTCTGTTGTGCTATTGGGTCTGTTCATATTTTGAAGATTTTGATAGGGGGGGAGGGCAAGCTCAGGGCCGTGCAGAGCGGTATCTGGTAGAATATAGAGCTACCGTTAACACTATGACAATTTAATCTATTGATGCTAAGTCATTGCATATGCCTCGCAGCTACCTTTACCACCATGGGATTTTAATCTATCAATCTATTTATTATTAATCTATTAAGAATAAGTATAGATGTATTAACACATCGTATGCATGATGTTCGAAAGGCATAGATTAATTTAAAAATGGACCAGTATTCTGCAATCTCTCCGGAAGATATTGCAATGTTTTTTTCAGAATTGTGGAATCGAAAACATTGAAACTTACAAAAGTTACAAAAGCAAAGAAAATAGTTACAGAAAACAGTTACAAAAGCAAAGAAAAGCAAGCGGGAATGGCAAATATAACTTAATAAAATATGTCGGATCTCATCATTATACAAGATATGAAGCCACAATGTGTCCTGCTCAGATTTTGACATCTCAACCAAGCACTACAAAATTTTAAAATCACCAAATGCGTGACCAAGACACACTGAGAAGGCGCATCTAATAAGAAGAGTATCCGCTGAATGTTTTGTTTAAGGACGCGGGTCAATGATGCGTCCAACTATCAATGAGGGGTCCGACTGTCTACGGAACAAAAATTTGCGGCGGATTTTTTTCCGTAGACAGTCGGACTCCTCATTGATAGTCGGACGCATCATTGACTCGCGCCCTTAAACAAACTAGAAAAACAAGTTTGCAGATTTACTATGGCATCGCGAAGCAAATTATTCATATTTCTACACGTGGTTGAAGAAGAACAACGTGGAGTGATGGATATAAGGTGCACTAGTGGGTTACGCAGGGTACGAAGGGATCCATCGATAACGCCAGAAGCCTGGACGCGGATGAAAGATGCGTTCGACTATCAATGAGGAGTCCGACTATCTACGGAAAAAAATTGCACTGGCGCCGTGGCCGGGGGGGGGGGCACGGAGGGACATGCTCCCCATCCTATTGTTAAGACCCGTCGGAAAATTATCAATGTTTTCGGAATGTTCGTGGTGAAGCATCGGAAAAAGTGCTACGAAAATCGGTCATCATAAGTGTCATCATTATCATAAATTGAGATGTTATTCAACAAGATTCCCATCAACCAAATGATATGGCCCAAATATTTGTGCATGCATGGTTTAACTTGGAATGACTTTATTTTCCGTATTTAGCTCTTACCTGTTGGCTAGTCAGAAGACATATATTTTATATATTTATTAGCATAGTCAGCCATCGCCGCTGACCATCACTTCCCGCGCCCTCTTGCACTTAAAGATAATGTAAAGCCCGTTCCGCTCATACGTTCTGTGCAGGCCTACATTACAATGGTCGGGATCCGACCATTGGAATGTTGTTGATATTTCGCACCTTCCAAACTGTCTTGAATTGAATCTCTAGTCATTATTAATTCACAAGTATAGCGAACCAGAAGAGTGTTAAAAGTTCAGTATAATAAATATCTAATCATGATATTTTACAACTGTAGCACTATGTTTACATTACGGACTGTACCACGCCTTTAACTTGTCATGTGGAAACTTGTTTTTACAAATTAAAGCATTTGACATGCATTCAATATTCTTTTATACTTTTTACTTTTTAAAACTTTTTACCAGTATTTGCAAATTTGTGCATGCTACCCGCTGTTTATAGAAAATTACCGAGTCTGAGATTCCTGCATAATTTGGCTGGTTGTGTTGGCGTTATGTGTATCTAGATTGGTCAGTGCATGTCAG